GAAGTGATTCTCAAGCCTCAGATAGACTCTAGATCAAATGCATATCTGTAAATGTCTATGCACAGAGGTCTGCTTGTAAATGTTTCACAACTGGCTTTCCCAAAACAAACGGGGAAAAGGCCTGATTTATCACTTATCTTAATTTTTGTGTCATAAATATTCACCATGGCCAATTTCAAGCTACCAGTGTGACATCTCTGGTTCCTCAAAATTGGGAAAGGAGTACAACAAGGTTGGATATTGTCATCTGTTTATTTAACTTACATTCAGGATACATTGTGTGAAATGCCAAGCTGGATACAAGATTGCTGTGAGAAATATCAACAATCTCAGACAGGCAGATGATAACACTCTAATGGTAGAAAGCGAAGAGGGATTAAAGAGCCTCTTGATGAGGGTGAAAGAGGAGAGTGAAAAAACTGGCTTAAAACTCAACATTCAAGAAACTAAGATCATGGCATCCAGTCCTATTACTTCATTGCAAATAGAGAAAAAGTGGAAGCAGTGACAGATTTTGTTTTCTTGGGCTCCAAAATCACTGTGGATGGTGGCTGCATCCATGAAATTAAAGGATACTTGCTTCTTGGAATAAAAGCTATGACAAACCTAGACAGCATATTAAAAAGCAGAGACATCACTTTGCCAACAAAGGTCCGTATAGTCAAAGCTTTGGCTTTTCCAGTGTCATGTATGGATGTGAGAGCTGGACCATTAAGGCTGAGTGCTGAAGAATTGATGCTTTTGAACTGTGGTGTTAGGGAAGACTCTTGAGAGTCCCTTGGACAGCAAGGAGATCCAACCAGTCCATCCTAAAGGAAATCAACCCTGGATATTCATTGGAAGGACTGATGCTGAAGCTGAAGCTTCCATACTTTTGCCACCTGATGTGAAGAATCAACTCATTGGAAAAGACCTTGATGCAGGGAAAGACTGAAGGCAAAAGGAGAATGGGGCAGCAGAAGATGAAATGGTTAGATAGCATCACCACCTCAATGGACATGAACCTGAGCAAATTCTGGGACATAATGCAGGAGAGGGGAGCCTGGCATGATGCAGTTCAAAGGGTTGCAGAGTTGGACGTAACTTACTGACTTAACAGTACCAACAGCATGAGCGTGCAGAGCTGGGAAGAAGTTGGTCCTTGTGAGCCAGGATATGATGTACATGATAATCCAAAATTATGGAGAGAAATTCATTTGAATGAATTTGAAATTCATTTCAATGTATGACAAAAACCACTGCAATGTTGTAAAGTAATTAGCTTCCAACTAATAAAAATAAATGAAAAAAATAAATCAATGGGAATAAAAGCCTAAAAAATGAAAAACAAACAAACAAACAAAATTATGGAGAGAAGAGTTCTCAGCGGGTCCTCTGTCTTTGACATTAACATGTCAGAAATAAAATGTGACATGGGTTGCTATGATACTGTCTTGAGGACCAATGGGCTAAAGCAGAGAAGTGAAAAAGAGTGCTGGCTCAACACTGCTATTGTGACCTTTGGAAGCAGACCCGTCCTCTTTGGAGAGATCAGGACTTGGTGGGGACAACTTGGGATCTGGCATCCGGCCTGGGTTTGGGTGTGGTCTTTGCCACCTCATAGCTGTGAGTCTGTGAATGAGACTCTTAATCCCTCTCAGCCTCAGTTTCTTCATTGGTAAACAGATTCTACAACTCACTCTGGAGGATTATCCTAAGTGTTAGCTACAAAGCAATAGCCTCTCACATACTGCTTGGCAAATGGTAGGTGTTCATTTTTGTTATATGAACCTGTTTGTCCATTCTTTATTTGGAATAGTTGGGCTACATTATATCTTAAGTTCCCTTTTAATATCTAAATCTCAGAAGATTCTCTTCTATTACACAGATTCAACTAGATAAAAGATGATAAAGAAGTATTTAAGAGCATCTAAGAAGTATTTAGTAAAAGTTTAAATGGATGAATAGATACCTGAAATTTATATTATCTCTTGGTTTTACTCCAAGCTAGAAATCTGAGGGACAAGTTTCACTGCTCTTTTGAAGTAAATCATCCTCCAGATGTAATAACCAGGGGGCTTCCTTGGTCGCTCAGACAGTAAAGAATCTCCTTCCACTGCAGGAGACCTGGGTTCAACCCAGGGTTGGGAAGATGCCCTAGAGAAGGGAATGGCAGCCCACTTGAGTGCTCTTGCCTGGGAAATCCCAGTGGACAGAGGAGCGTGCTGGGCTACAGTCCATGGGGCGCAGAGAGCCAGACTGAGCAGCTAACATATCTAATAACTTAGCAAGGACTGGTGATTCTTCTCTCTTACATTAAAAAAGAAGGTGCCCCTTTTCCTTTATCTATCTGTGGTCTTCTAGGTCGGTCTGTCATTATCTCTTCACCGGTTCTTTGCTTCCCATCTTGAACACCTCATCCTGGACAAGATTGTCTCCAACTCAACATTTTAAGCTCTTTATAAGGACACAGACTTTCTTTTATTTATTTTTGTCTCAAATTCCAATATAGCTCTTGGCACAAAATAGATGCTCAATACATGTTTGTTTGATTGCATAATGAATGAGCCAACTTTTGGGAAACTGATTAACATAGTTTTCTGTTCTGGAAGTTACCTTCCAAAGTGATATTATCCATGATTCCTTATGTGTCCCCTTGCATGCCATCAACTTTGGTGATTTCAAGTTCCAAGCTGAAGGCCGTTCTACACCATGGACCTCATGTCTCAGGGTCAAAGGTCAGGGTCAGGACATTTCGTGGCGCTGCTCCTCCTGGGTGGACCCAAGTGTGGGGAGTCTGCCCGAGCCTGAAGCCTGGCCCTTCTTGTTGTGTGTGTGCCTTTCCTGTGTCCACACACTCGGGGGTTCCCTTGGACCCTCAGGTGAGCCTTTTTACAAGAAGAGGTTACTAACCGAGCAATTAAGACTTATTAATAGTTTCCTGAATTAGTGCAGATTGGGCTAAACTTTACAGGGTTGAGCACGCTGAGGTTTTACATGACCTCAGCTCTCAGGAGTAGCTTTCATGAGCCTGAATGAAACTGGCATGTAAAGATAGAATTCAAATTACGTGTAAGGATTATTTGCTAATACAGGACAGCACAGTCACCAGGAACCCTGGAGGAAGACATAGCCACTCTCCTTTCCTTCAGCTTGACATTTTCCTGGTCATACCTGACACTGAAGGATCTCACATCCAACATGTTGAAGGGAGGGTTTGGCAACTTGGGCTGGAAGGAACAGAAGTGAGCCAGCGGCAGAAATATCTGCCTCTGATCATTTAAGGTAAGACAAGAATAGAGCTTTCTGTATGCAAGCCAAGTGGAATTATTAAGGCTAACCTTCTCACTCAGCACTTAATAGATAATCAATTTTTGTTATTAACAGTGGAGGGTAAAAATCAAGGAGGGAATGAAAATGCTCCTCTCTCACACTTGTGAAGGGTTCTGAGTGTGCAAAATGACATTAGACATGTTATTTCATTGAATTTTCACAGCAACATAAAATTGACCAGGGCAGGCCTGCATGCATTCATTCTGGAAGATGCATTTAACAAACATTTGGGGGGCCATCAGCCACCAGCCACAGAAATCTCTCTGTGGTCTTTACTTTCCACCACTCAACTTTGACACCCAGTTCCTGTCTCACTGGGCTCATGCCAAACTTAAGAGGAGACCCATTTACCCCTGGTTTCTGTGAGAATCCTGGGGGGCTTAGGTGGTTCCATCCACTGGGGAGGGGATTTTGTTCAGTTGTCATCTTTCCGTAGAGGTTTACAAGGGGAAAGGCCAGCAGTCTTTGCTTAGTGACCTCAGGAAGGCAGGCTTTGTTCTGAAACTACCACCTTTCTTCTTTGTTGCCAACAACATGTACATCCTTCCGTCTTCCACCTGGTTCTTCCCCTTCTCTCCCCTCAGGGTCCTGTTCTCAGGGAAAGCCTTATCCCTTCATATCTTTCAACATGTCCTTGCTATGCCTCCACTTACGCCCTTCTCTTAATCGGGGATTTGGACACCGAAGCCAGGAGGTCCGTGGGATGCCTTCTTCATTCTTTGGCTGAGGCCAAGCACACAGAGCCAAACACCTCTCCAAATGGGAGGAACAGAGAGAGATGGAAGAAGGAAGCAACAGATAGAGGCTTGATATCAAAGCCGTCTAACATCAACACAGCAGCAAGAGCAGGCCTGTGGTGGCTGACCAGTGTGAGATCAGCCTCTCTGCCTGTGCTTAGGGCTACAGCTGCAGAGAAAGCGGAAAACCCGCCCTACAGAGCCGCTGGCTTTCTCCGTGGAGTGTTGATAAGAAAGCCCCTAAAGCTCCAAGCTCAGCTCTATCAGATAAGAGAAGACTAGAAAAATGTGAGCATTAGAGGAAGAATTCAAAGTGATGAATGGGATGGAGGCCCGGCCTTACGGTTTGAAACTGAAATAATAAAATGTGCCTAGTTTATCCAAGCAACTGTTAACTGGGAAAGCTGAGAAGTGCCAGCGATTCCAAGCAGAGGGGGGTGAAATGAAGCAAGCCAAGGGAAACTTTATATGGGAACATAGCTGGGAACCGCTCTCACCAGTGAAAGCGTTTAGCCTTTGGAATGATTTCCTTTTGGAGGTGAGGAAGGTCAGAGGCACAAAAGATTTAAGAAAGATGCTTAATGTGATGTAGGAGACACATTCCCGGATTGCGCAGCCTGGAGGGACACTGGGGATCCCATGAATAACAATGTCATGTGGTAACGACTCTCATCCCTTTCACGGTTTGGGGGTATTGAGCCAAAACTGCTTTTTTTTCCCCCTGCTACAAACAATAAGAAGGTGAAGCTTCCATTCCTATTAAGTTGAGTTATAAACCCCTTGGAAAGATCTATACTTTCCATAGTGGTAGAGAGTCTCACACTGGGTTCTGAGCACTGCAGAGGAACCTAGGATAATTCTACCCGGGTCGAGCAGACAGGAAGGAATGGGATGGGGTAGAGAGAAACTTCCTGTTCCTTCCAAGGAGACTGACCTGCCAACAGCCCTCACCGGTCCCCGGAGCATCTTAATCTCCCAGAGCAGAGGGGCGTGTGCTTCCTTCTGCTTCTGCGGCCTCGTGGGCCCCGCGCTCTCAGCGTCACCAGATGGCAGCAGAGATCGCTCCCCGCCTGCGGCTCCCTGGTCCCCGCCGCCCAGCAGGACACGAATGTTCACCGGCGAACGCGGGGCCGCCTCCTCTGCTAAAAAAACATATTGATTTCATTCGAGGAAGATAAATTCATAAACTGTACAACCGTATTCATCAGTTCATTTCGGGGGAATGTGATATAGGAGTGGTGCAAAAATAAAACTCCCAGCAGCAGGCATCATCTGTTATCTCTTCCATATGTGCAGTCCCTAAAGCTCCTGAGAGGGTGAACTGCTACTGAATCTGACAGCTGCCTTTCCAAGCATCCTTGTTTAACCCATAACCACTGTGTGGAGCCTGTCCAGGGCGCTGACCCAGTCTTTGTTTTATCATGTAAATCACGTAATGCAACCTCTGACTGGCCTGAATGCCTGCCTGCGTGGGTTCTGCCCAGATCGCTAGATTCATTTTTTTTTTCGTCCTGGCCCTCAGCTTTGCCTTGGACCTGGTCCTGAAGCTTGCTATGTAAACACATTCTTGTCAGGTTCTACCTAGAGATGAGACATAAAGGGGTGTGTGTGTGTGTGTGTGTGTGTGTGTGTGTGTGTGAGTGTGTGTGTGCATGTGAGTGTGTGTGCATGCGTGTGTGTTTGCGGATATGCACTGGGTGACCTTCTATTCTTTCTAATCCCTGGGGAAAATGTTCACCCTAAATTTTTTTTTGTTTTTTTTTTCTCTTCTACATTTTCATTCTCATGGCTATTGTCCAAAAAGGTGTTTAAATTATACATAGCTGCTAACCGTACATTTATATAAAGCTCTCATGACAAAGTAATAGGACTTGTAAATAGAACCTGTAAAATGTTATTTTTAAACAGAGATCAGTTCAATTGCAGCAGCATGCCTGACTAAATGGACTTAAAATACCACTTCCCTAACAGGGAGGCAGTTGCAGGCATGCTTACTTCAGTAGCTGGATGACAACTGGGCGCTGGCCAGCTTTTTCCTACCCTCCTGCCTTTCTTCTCATGGCTATAAGCCTTAGTTCCAAAATTACTGCTTTACCCTGTGATAAAGGTCCATCTAGTCAAGGCTATGGTTTTTCCAGTGGTCATGTATGGATGTGAGAGTTGGACTGTGAAGAAAGCTGAGCGCTGAAGAATTGATGCTTTTGAACTGTGGTGTTGGAGAAGACTCCCGAGAGTCCCTTGGACTGCAAGGAGATCCAACCAATCCATCCTAAAGGAGATCAGTCCTGGGTGTTCTTTGGAAGGACTGATGCTGAAGCTGAAACTCCAACACTTTGGCCACCTGATGCGAAGAGCTGACTCATTAGAAAAGACCCTGATGCTTGGAAAGATTGAGGGCAGGAAGAGAAGGGGACGACAGGGGATGAGATGGTTGGATGGCATCACCGACTCAGTGGACATGAGTTTGGGTGGACTCTGGGAGTTGGTAATGGACAGGGAGGCCTGGCGTGCTGTGGTTCATGGGGTTGCAAAGAGTCAGACATGACTGATTGACGGAACTGACTAACTCTGTGATATCCAACGAGACACATAAAAGAGACACTTTCTCCCATGTCTTTCAGGAGAAAAAAAAATCACTTCTAAAAGTCCTAGAATTCCTTCCAGGTCCCACTGCTGGGAACTAGGTGAAAGATGTATGGCATGACCGTTGGACAGGCAAACAGCGTGGGATGGTGGCATCGTTCAAGAGTGATTTAGAGCCTTATTCTAAAGAGTATCCCTAAAAATAGCTTGAAAGGAAGCTCCTTCCAGTGGGCAGCACTTTGAGCCATGTACCTGGCTATTCACTTTGCCTGGAAGGAGAGACCTGCGCAGTGGGTAATGGTTTGGCTGGTGCCCAAGGACTCGGAACAAATAAGGTTGGGGCACAGGCGACAAGGAGGTCTGGGGAATGAGATACGAGGATGGAGCACGGAGTGTGCATACATTTGTGCCCACGTAATGCCAAGCAAAGAACAATGGTGGAGGAAGAGGCTTTTGACAATTAGATGGCAACATGAGTGCCCAGTCTGCCAATGACAGAAACTAAACCTGAGCTCCTGTGAGGGGCTCCATCTCTTGGAAAGAGCAGCAATTTGTCCTCCCTACAATGCTTCTTCCAGACTCCCATGTGTGAGTTTTTGAAATGCCACATTTGTCGTGATGATCTTCCATGTAGCATCTCTTCTGACCAGGAACTCAGTTTAGAATGAAAGAAGCACGGCAATAGGTCCATACCTATGAAACTCATGTTATTCAATGGACATGAGTCTGAGCAAGCTCCAGGAGTTGGTGATGGACAGGGAGGCCTGGCGTGCTGCCGTCCAGGGGGTCGCAAAGAGTCAGACACGGCTGAGCGACGGGACTGAACTGAACTGATCCACGTTTCATCATCCCAGAGAAGCTGGCCTAAGATAGCAGTAGCATGGCCAGTTGAACACTCAGTTATCACACTATATATAATATATGATGCCTTTTCTTCCATGGGTAGAATGCATGGTTCTGGGGCCAAATGGGAAGAACTAGTAGTGGCCTCTATCACCGTTCTCCCTAAAGATCCAAGAGCAACATTTTGTTTCCAGCCTTACAACTTGGGCTCCGCTGGTTTGGCGGTCTCGGTTCCCAAAATGGGACCTCTTTTTCCAGATATGTGACAAAAATTCCACTGAACTGGAAACTGAGATTGCCACCTGGCCCTTTGGGCCACTTACGCTGCTGAACCAACAAGCTGAGAAGGGAGTGCCACTCTGAGCTTGCTGAGATGGAGATTCTGACGGCCAAGTTAAAAGTAGGGTTGCCACTATGTGATGGAGCACCCAGAGGAAGCTGTGATGTGACCTGTGGATTTTGGATGATTATACTGTGTCAGTGTGGGTTCATCAGTTGTAAAAACTGTACTCTCTGGTGGGGAGTGTTGATAAGGGGGCAGCTATGCAAGTGTGGAGGGTGGGGATAAACGGGAAGTCTCTGCACCGCCTTTTCAGCTTTGTTGTCAACCTAAAACTACTTTAAAATTTATTTTTTTTACATTAATGGAAAATGATAGTGACCTAATACAGGCACAGATCCTTCATTAGCAGAGTCCTGAATCACCCTGACAGGTAAGGCACCATGACCAGCTGAGGTATTGAGTGAGGACAAAGGTAATATAGAGTAGGCAGTGAAAGAACTAAGTGATAACACTTTACAGTATGTTATTATGTTTGCATTTATTACTATTTGCTGCAGTTATTTATTTTACTGTTTTCTCAATGATGTATAAAGTGACTTAATTGTTATTAACTCAGATTTTGTGAGTTATGAGCCATCCACAGGGGACTGTGACTGAACTAGAAAAGAAACAAATAATACTTAGATAAGGATAAATTCACATATAGGATGTGTGTCTTCCCTTCAGGTGAATAAGTGAGTACATCTTTAATTTTACAAGGCAGAGGCATGCCATTGTTATCACCTTTAGTCAAGAGCTAAATACGGGCTAAAGTGCTGGTCTGGACGGCTGAGAGAACAGAGGAGTGGGCTGCGCCTGCTTATCTGTTTCTGTTGAGACAGTGGTTGCAGTTCTTTCAGAAATATATCCAGAAATAGAATCGCTGGGCCACACAGCAGTTCTACTTTTAGGTTTCAAAGTGACCTCTCTACTGTTCAGTAGCCGCACCCATAGCAGCTGCACCAGTTCGTTTCTACCAACAATGTATAAACGTCCCCTTTTCTCCACAGCCTCGGCAACACGCTGCTTGTCCCCATTTTAATTATGGCCATTCTGACAGGTGTGAGGTGATACCTCACTGTGATTTTGATTTGCATTTCCCTGAAGATTCATAATGTTGTATACATAACCTATTGGCCATTTGCATATCTTCTTTGAAAAGTGTCTATTTAGGTTCTTTGCCCATTTTTAATTGGATTATTTGTGTTGCTATTGATTATTGACATATATTTTGGATATTAGTATAGCTCCTTATCAGATATGCATTTTTCCTATCTTGTATGCTGGCTTCTCATTTTGTTGATTATTCCTCACACTGTGCAGATGCTTTTTAATTTGATGTACTATCACTTGTTTTTGTTTGTTTATTGCTTGTTCTTTTGGTGTCATACCCCCCCCACCCCCAAAATTATTAAGACCAATGAGCAGGAGATTTTCCCTAGGTTTCCTTCTAGAAGTGTTGTAGCTTCAAGCTTAAGACTTGAGTGATTGGGCCATTTTGAGTTAATTTTTTTGTGTAGTGCAAGATTGCTACAAATTTATCTCTTTACATGTGATTAGTTTTTCCAGCACCATTTATTGAGGAGACTCTCCTTTTCCCATTGAGGGATCTTGGCTTCCTTGTCAATATTAGCTAATTGTATATGTGTGGGTTTATTTCTGGACACCAGATTTTGTTCCATTGGTCTGTTTCATTTTTATGCCAGTACCATACTGTTTTGATAACTGTAGCTTTGTAATATGATTTGAAAATAAGACATGATGCTTCAGGCTTTGTTCTTTCTCAAAGTTGCTTTGGCTATTTGGGTGCTTTTCTGGTTCCATACAAATTTAAGGGTTGTTTTTAATGTGTGAAAAATGCCATTAGTTTACCTGTTGTCAACTCAGCGTCACCATCATCTCCTTCTAAGTTCTCTTCTGTACCAGAGAAGAGAAGCTGAGAGCTGCATTTCCCTTCATCGTGTGGTTCTGGGATTGAGTTTGCCAATGAGAGGAACTCAGACAGGATATGTAAGACAGAAAATAAGGATAGGCTATTATGATTCTGTGGCAGTTGCAGTCCAGGCATGTGGGATTATATACAGACTTTGCAGCAAGCTCTTGAGGGCAACTGTTTTTGCTAATGTAGACTGAAAAACTTGGTGGGAGATTTACAGAAAGTGTTAAAAATTCTAGAGGCTTCTCAGTGAGCCCTTAAGAACTTTGGGGTTTCAGGCTTAGAGTGTCTGTGTGGTTTCTATGACCTCCACTCCCTAGGCACTTCCATCTGCTAGGTAAGCACCAAATTTCTTGTATTAGAAGCATTAGTTTCTGGAATACTTAAAATGGCTTCTGTTATTCTGATGGATTTTGGCTGATTTAAAGATCCATTAAAGGTCTATCTATTATATC